GGGGGGGCCCAGGGGGGGGGGGGGGGGGGGGAGTGTCTCCAGTGTAATCAGTGGCAGACCTGAAAGTAGACCAAAAACACTTCTGGGTCTGCTGTGGAGCATGTGGGGGGCCTCCCTGTTCTCCAGCAGGATGCTCTATCTGCCCCACTATCTCGGTGTTCACAAGCCATGCCTGGTACCTCAAGGTATCTAGAAAAAACATTTTAAAGCTGTGTCTATGGCTGAAATCGCTGATTCTCTAAATTGGCATCGAATCTTCAAATTTGGCCAAATCGAATCAGGACAGTGATCCAAAACAATGAATCTAAGCACTGTCTGTGATTCAGGCAGAACTGAATCAAATACAGCCCATTTTGCACACCCCTACTATGGATTGCCCCAAATATGCTCATAACACTAGCAGCATTCTATACTCAAATCTCATGCTTCAAGGTTTGAGTTTACTGTCTACAGGAATAAGGAAGGATTCCCCTCCTGTGCCCCCAAGACCCACAACTAGCAACATGAATTCTGTAGGGTTAGAGGGGAGGGGGTTGAGGGGGATACCAAGACACTGAAGCACTAGCTATTGGGCAAGGGGAGGGCAGGTGAAAAGTTAATGGTTTGTGTGCAGGTGGCCAGACTAGAAGGCCTAAAAATCCTTTCTGACCTTGAACTCAACAGGAGAAAGTGCAGAATTTTTATTTATTTTGTGGCTCTGAGAGTCACAGTCCCATACTGCCTGCCTATTTATCTATAGGGACTTCAAGTCAGTATTGCCTAAAACAAATACCAAAATACCAACAGAGCCACTACACCTGAACCACTTGGAAACACTTTTTCCTACAGGCAAATATTTAGTGTGTGTGTGTGCAACTTATGCACAACTTTCAAAATGAGTTGCCAAAGCAGGCATTTTAAAGAAATAAAATGTCATTGTCAAGGGTCTCTTGAATGGTACCAAAGCTGTAACTTGAGGAAGGTGAAAGATTTTACCTTGTTTGGCTGAGCTATTCAAAACAAATTAAGAGCAACAAGAAAGCTTTTTACATCAAAAATACTGCTTCACGTAAGCCTCTCAATATAGAAACAGTGTGTGGTTCTTCTACAATTTATGTGAAACCAGACCACTGTCCAAGTTCAGTGGTCAGGGATCCACAAATGACACTTTGCTTGAATTCTACAGGGATTTTTAGCAAATGAGAAATCTGGAGGCTGATCTACCACCTTCTTATAATGACAGCACGTTAACCAACAGTGAGCTACGCTGGTGGTGCCCATGGCCCTGCTATAGACTTGTACATTTCCAAGCATTAGCTTTATAACTGACTTGCTCTTTTTATAGCTAGAGTCATTTTTATCACATGATAATTAATTGGCCAGTGTTGGCCGGTCAAAATTTATGGCACCAATCACCAGTTAATCGTATGATAATTTATTTTGCACTTGTGGCTGATCTAAATGTTTTGCACAATTCACCAATGTACGGCATAACATTTGTAAGGTGTAGCAGGGGCCTGAGATATACCAATCATTTCAAAACCAAACCAAAGTAATTTCACTTGGTCAGATTTTCCTAGCAAAGTCTTCCGCATTCTGCTCTTCAGACCTGCCTTGTCCACTGGGCTGAGCACACCTACTACTAGCACATGTTGTTTACCTACTCCAGGATGTTTCTAAGCTGGTCACGGATACACAGACAAAGGTGTTTGACACAACTGCCTCTACCATATGGCCAGCAGTTGCTCCACACTTGCCAAAGTGAGAGGCCCATGAGAGCAGGGAAGGGGAGCAAATGCTCCCAGTCCCAGGTCTAGGCAGCAAATTGGTCTGAATCTGAAGGTCCTGAGCTCCAACATCTTTCCCCTGCTCCTGCAGTCCCTTCCCAGTCCCACTTCCTGCTCAGTGAATCCAGCTCCTTCCTCCATAACCACAGGAAACTAAAGGGCTTCTCCCCCCCGCCCCCCCTCGGTGCAGCGCAGAAGCGGCAAAGCCCTGGACACCAAGGGGCTGCGCCGGCCAGAGGTCACGGGGGCTGCCCCGGCCCCCCGCAAACGCCTCCGACCGGCAGGAGCGCGGGGCCGGAGGCAGACGTGGCACTGGCGGCGCCGCCCGCCCGCCC